GGTATTTTGAGTTATTTTGGCCACGTACAAAATTACCTTTTAATTGAAGGAAACCTGAAAATAATAATTTACTAAGATAGAAAAACACCAAAGACATAATATTAAACCATAAAGGAACAAGGATTGTCAAAGATGGAGAAGATTAACACGGATTACAAAATTAATGACGAAGTTTAAAATTTTGGTTAAACCTTTGAAGATGTGCAGTGCAAACCGTGAGGTAACTCCTTTAAGGTCCTAAACAACATGATTTATATCTCTGTAACGTCGTATTGCCTACAAATTGGTTTAAATTCACGCACTTGTTTTCCAAAAAAAACGTGTCAAGAATTCTGCGTTATGCGAAGTCGTTTGTAAGTGATACAGCCAGGTGAAATGAGTTCATTGACAGACAGTAATTGTATTCTTGTCTTTCTTGTAGCTGTTCATCCGAGACTCCAAACAATGTGAAGCCATTCTTGGCCAACAGGAATTGTTCCTGTCCAAGGAAGAAAGTGGAGTAAGTACAACCAAGTTCTGTTTATACGGATAAAACCAGAGAGATACGACACGAATTCATTCAAGGGAAAACATATTAGTCACAATTGTGAAAAAAAGTCCTTGGGACACTGATGTAATGCAGCCAACTGTGTTTTACAACTGAAGTTTGAAAAAGCACCGCTATCTTTTGAAAATGCGATGCTGTTTCCCCCTCTCCTTCCCCTCCCCCTCCCCCTCCCTCTTCCCCTCTCCCTACCCCTCCCCCAACCAATACAATGTTGAAACTCAGGAGAAACAACATTGCAGGCGGGGTGGGAAGAGGAGTTGGGCAAGTGAAGTTGTATTCAAGCGCGACTGTTTGTTTGACGTGTGTCCAAAAGCGCCAAATGTGCACATGTGTCCCAAGACATTTGTTCATGATTGTAGGCACCAGAACCACTATCCGTAGTCGAGGTGTCTGTAAAGTGTGGTGTAAACGTATGTTCCTTACTCTTGCTCCAAAGGCCACCGTAGAAGCCGTGAAGGAACTGATTAAGAAGCATGAAGAATTCGAGAAGCGCATGAACACCAATGATGACAAGATCAATCAAATGATGCAGTTTGCTGAACGCTTGAACGATGAAAATCACTACGCCTCAGACAAGATCACTGAGAAAGCTCGCAGCATTGATGAAAGGCAAGCAGCAAAGTCTTTCTTCTTTAGTTAGAGGAGCTACGTCACGGTTTACGCAACTTGAAAAGTTTAGCCTACATTTTCCAAGTTCGTCGTTGGTAATCCGTGTCAATCTTCTCCATCCTTAACCATCCTTGTTACTTTATGTTTTATTATTGTCTCTCTGTTGTTTTTCTATCTTAGTAAACTACTATTTTGAGGTTTTCTACAATTCAAAGGTTATTTCGTACGAGGCTGAAATACCGTGACTGAGTTCCTTTAAAGACTGTATAAACCTCACATTTGACAGTGATGGGGGGAAACCCTCCTCTCGTAGCAATAACAACGCGGATTCGAAAGTCCTAACCTAGAGCTTGTTATTTTTACAGGAGAAATGCCAACCACGAGAAGATGGCGGCCGCACTGAGGAGGCTGAGAGATGCTTTGGAGTTACAACAGTTTATCCAAGATGCTGAAGATGTGAGTATTTTTGAATCACATCACAGCAGACATATCTCACAGGAGAAAATCATTAAAAATTGAGTTCGATCTAAGAATCTTTACATTCTTATAAGCTTCATGACTCAGACTAGCAGCTAAGCACCATAACACGCAGTTACATAAGGAACTATTGCAAATCTCATGCAATCGTGTTTCACCGAACGTTACGTTTAAGGGCGAGTTACACTAGGAAATTTCAAGTTGCTAGAAAAATAAGCCATTTTACAGTTGTGTGAATGTAACCGAACCTCTGCATAAAGGCGAGGTTTGGGTTGACCTTGTGAAGATGGAGACAAGAAAATAGGATAATCAGTTTGCAATAAAAAAAATGGCAAGGTTTTTATGACGACAAACTCAATGCTAGTCTCGCTTCTGCTTGAAGGCCTGAACACAAAAGCAGAAAACTGTAAAATGGGTTGAAGTCTCTTGTAATAATGTCTTAGTGGAATCGTTGATGGCAATGTCTTCTTGTGTGTGTTTTTCTTGTCTGTTAGATGTACGACTGGCTGAATGAGCGGTTATTAATCGCATCAGAAGAGACTTACAGAGACCTGAGCAACATTCAGGGAAAAGTCATGAAGCACCGAACGTTTGAAGCTGAAATCCAGGCTAACAAAGAACGACTTGATGACATCTGTGAGGTTCGTAGACCAAAGCGTATCATAAAACATTGCATGCTAGAGCAAAAATTCCCACCTTATATATTTGAGGTCTTGATACAGAAAGGCTCCATTAGAAGTTGAGTTTCTTATGATCCACTGGAAGCTTCAATGAAATTAAAATGTTTCAAAGAAATCCTCTTAGGTGTAAAGATTTGGCATTTTGGATACCCAGAAAATGTAGCATGGATGTTTGGTAGTCTGAAATGTCAGTCGCCTCCCGCCCCGGGGCTAATTGCCGGGATTAGGTTGAGGGGGTGGGGGATGACTGATGTATCAAGCTAGGATGTTTAAGCTCTGTGACGGATTTAAATCCAGTCATAGTAACTGATGTCCTCCTTGCACTCTGACCAGAATTGTTCTGTGTTCTACATTCTTACAGACGGGAAACAACATCGCCGATGAGAAACCAGAAAACAGACCAGAAATCGATGAACGTTTGGAGAAACTGAATATTAAGTGGCAAGAGTTGGCTGATGCTTCCAAGCAGAAGGGAACCAAGCTAGGAGATGCACAGAAACAAGAGGAATTCAACACTGGCGTCCAAAACATCCAGCAATGGTTCGCGGAGGTTGAGCAAACTGTAGTTACTCACGAGAAGGCGACTGACTTGACAACAGCCACAAGACTATACCAGAAACATAAGGTATCGTTTGAAAAAAGTGAAAAATATAAGGTTTTGTTTTGCGGCTACTTAAAGATAAAACTTGTCAAAGTTATCTGGAGTTGTTTTCGTTTTGCTTAACTGTGCTCAGTGATTGGTTTAGAATTCTCGCGGCACTCTCGGCCAATCAGATGCAAAACAAGAACCAATCACCATTTGATCACGTGCCTTTTCCCGCCTTTAGCGCCGACTACGTGTGCTTATTTTGGTGTCGCAGTGGCTCATAGTGCCGCAAATTGAATATCTGCTTTCGGTACAGTTACGTAGCCAACGTGCACTTTAGCGGAAGCTTTACAATCTAAAAAGATAGCAGCTTGAATACTTGCAATGTTAAATTTAGTTGAGGTTCAGTTACACTCCACATTCGAGGAACTCTAGAGATGCAGCACTAATTATTATTTTTTAATTTTCAGATGATGGAAAAAGAGATCTTGGCAAGGCGACAGCGTATGCAGGAATTGAACAGCCAAGCTCAAGACCTGGTTGATGCCGGTCATTTTGATCCAAATGCTGTGGAAGAAACTCGCATTGTCATGGAGGAAAGGTTTGTCAGAATTTCTTTTTTTAGTGTTGAACAAGCGCCGCGCGATCTCGTCACGAACCGAAAAATTCCTTCCTGATGAAGAGGCTATGTAGTGATGCGTGCAGTTCCTCTGATTGGTGGATATTTTCGCGGGAAAAATTCAAACCCAAGCAACAAACAACCGGATTGTCTTACCACTTGTTTGCTTTTTTTTTGTAGGGTCGATGCTATGGCTGCCCCATTGTCCGAGAAGGGCGTGGAGCTAGAGCGCACTCTTGGCTTCTTCCAGTTCAACAGAGATGTGGACGATGAAGAGGTGAGGACGTTTAGACTTTGCTTGTATGAAATACAGGCATAGGAGTGTGGCATGTTAGAATGAGTAAACTGTCCCTGTATTTTTCCTTACCCTAACGTTGCCTTGTGTGCGTTGGATTAGTGTCAAATTGCGAGGACCTTATAATGTAGAGACTAACCTTCGCAAAGGAAGCGAGGCAAGTTTGATCTGATACTAATTAGCTGTGATTACTATTCCTTTTAAGGCCTGGATCAAAGAGAAGGAGCCCCTGCTGCAATCGACAAACTATGGAAACAACTTATTTGAAGTGCAGAAATTACAGAAGAAGCTCCAGGTAATGTATAGTGGCGCTTAAGTTTTCTATGCTAGTGTGAAGAGAAATTAAATTTTTTGTCAAGTTCTGACTAGTTTGTAACTCTGTTTTTGCCTGTAGCGATAAGCTGATTTCTGTGATCAGTTTCGTCGTAGATTATCGTCAGGTGACGGTAACCGAGAAACAAAATGCTCGCAATAATAGCGGTCTACAGTTAGTAATAACACTGATGACTTGGACGTGAGTTACGATGGATTGCGGTGCCGTGAAATAAAACATTTATGGCCTGACTTATCTAGTAATTTCGCTTGCCTTAACAGACTTTGTGTGCCGAAATTGAAATCCACGAAGCTCACAAAGACTCCATCTGCAAACGCGGACAAGAACTCGTCGATTCTGAACATCCAGAAGCTGACCAAGTGGCCGAGAGAACCCAGGACCTGCAAGAGAAGTATGGTAATCTCAAAAAACTCGCAGACGACTACAAAGCTCAACTGGACTTGTCACTCCAGGCTAAACAGGTAAGACTAGTTTTTCAATCACGTGCATTTTGACGTTATATAGATTTCGTAGAAACGTTAACAATTTATGAAGGACATCCTTTGATAAAAAGACTTGTCTTAGTAGGTCCTGTTGAAAAGCCTTGCACACAAGTACACTCGAACAATTTTGGCTAGTTGACTTGTTTTGTTGTTCGATTGTTACCGACGGTTTCGGTATGGTCAGAAACTTTCATTTCATGCGTGGCTGTCAGTTTTCTTTTAACTTTAAAACGGTTTCAGAGAAGAAACAAATTCACATTTAAATCATTACGAGTCTATACCTCTTTAAGGCGCGAATTTCCCTTTGTTAATACGCCATTATCAATTTGAGAAAATCCCTTCAGATTCGTGTCAAAATCTTTTTTTTTTGGTGGTAATTCAAAAAACTAAAATAGGTGGTAAGCGAGGGTATGTCCCGAACCGTAGTAGATGTACAGATCTGTCATTCCCCTATATTTTGTTGTAACAAGATCATTGTGGAAGATTGATCAAAAAACGTTCAAAAGTTTCAGTACAAATTCCTGGGATATCTTGTTGATGCACCTTCAGATTCTTAAAACTACCTTTAAAAGGATTGTATACCAACCACTTAGGAGAATAAATTTCTTTATCTCTTTTAGTACTACTACGATGCGTCAGAGGCTGAGTCGTGGATGAGCGAACAAGAACTGAATATGATGGGTGACGAGCGAGGAAAGGATGAGGCGAGCGCCAGCGCCATGCTCAAGAAGCACGAAACACTGGAGGCAGCCATTGCTGATTATTCCGAGACAGTTAACGAACTGGGCGACACGGCTAAAGCACTGGTGGACAGCGGACACCCAGAAGGGTACAGCTTAACTCACCCCTCCCCGTAGAAGAATCGATTCATGTTAGAATTCCGCTGAGGAGTGTCTTAAAGGAGCTTCTTGCTTATGGGAAGGGCGCTGGCCTCATGGTTAGTGCGCCGGACTCAGGATCAAGCGGTCCGGGTTCGAGCCCTGGCCGGGGTCATTGAGTTGTGTCAGTCTTGGGTAAATTCGGGCCGAAGTGTTTTTAGAGATTCGCTCGTTGTCACATAAGTTTTTTCAAATTTGAAATAGTTTGAAGTTGTGTAGTAGGAGACCAGAGATTTCTAGTGAAGGGGAAATGTCAGCCTTTAACTCTAAAACCTGATATTTTGGCCAAGATTATCGCTGTTAATGAAACTAGACTTGTTTTTTTCTTAACAGCGAGCAAGTTAAGATCCGCCAAGCTCAAGTGGACAAACTGTATGAAGGACTCAAGGACTTGGCAGAGGAGCGCAGAGGCAAGCTGGACGAGACACTGAAGCTTTATCAGCTGCAAGGCGAAATCGATGATCTGGAACACTGGATCGCTGAGAAAGAAGTTGTGGCTGGATCAGAAGACATCGGACAAGATCTCGCTCAAGTGGAGGTACATATTCACGTCTCAGTTTGTTTATGTGTTAGATTGTCTGTGAATGGGTCGTTTTGACAAGATGGGAGCTCGTAACGTTGCTTACTTTTATGTTTATCCGTCCACAGTTGCTCATCGAGAAATTCCGCGAGTTCGCGCGCGACACCACGAACACTGGCTCCGAGCGCGTGGCAGCAACGAACGCTGTGTGTGACCAGCTGATCGGCACAGGCCACTCGGACGCGGCCACAATAGCTGAGTGGAAAGATCAGATCAATCAGTCCTGGGCCGACTTACTGGAACTCATTGACACGAGGACAAAGGTTAGCGAAACGTTCTTTTGCTATTGTATTTGTTGTTTTTCTAACTGACTAAGATATATTTATAGGAACATTTCTCCTTTATATCGTCCACAAAACAGTAATGTTTATGTGCTTTATCTTTCTAGATGCTAGAAGCCGCCCGCGAGTTGCACAAATTCTTCTACGATGCTAAAGAAGTGCTGGCGATGATTCAAGAGAAAGAGAACCTCCTCACAGATGACCTGGGTCGAGATTTGAACAGTTTACATCAACTGCAAGTCGTTCACCAGGGATTTGAGGCAGATCTGGCCCCTCTTGGCAACCAGGTAAGACTAGTGCATAACATTTCCCGCCCTTTTGGCGACTTTTCCCGCCTTTTTACGGCCTGGTAGTGGTCGTGACAGCGCCCAGAGATACCGAGGCTCCATAAATATTCCCTCCATTTTTTGACGACCTTGGCTTCGTTTATTCCTTGAAAAAAAAGTAACGCGCTTGAGCAACATTTTTGCGCCATTTGGAGGAGTTTTGCCGATTTAAATTCCTTTTTTTTTTCTCACCAGGTCGTCGCCGTCCAAGAGGAGGCTAATCATCTCCAGGGCTCCTACGCCGGTGACAAAGCCAGGGAAATTCAAGCCAAAGAAGACGAGGTGGAAGACGCATGGAAGCGGCTCAATTGGCGGGTAAAACAACGCACTGAGCGCTTACATGACGCCGACGACTTGTACAGATTCCTACTGGCTGTTCAGGATCAGATGTTGTGGATGAATGACATGTTGAAGCAGATTTTAACCTATGAGAAAGCGAAGTGAGTGTGAACCCTTCTGACTGATTTTTTAAACTAACTTAAATAGCGCTCAGACGTTTTTCTGCTGTAACTTGTTACACCAGGGCAAAACGCTGACCTCGTAAATCGTGGCTCATCCATGCCGGGAAAACGCCAAACTTTGTTTTTACCGTAAACCAGATTTTTGCGTTTTAATATTTGTTTTTTTAATTTTTCCGCATCAAGGGACGTACCCGGAGTCGAGGTCTTGATGGAACAACATCAGAACAGAAAAGTAGAAATCGACGCCCGGGAGGACAGTTTCGACGATGTCGTGAAGATGGGCAAAGATCTGATCGCCAGAAATCACTATGCTACTCCTGAGGTAAAGAATTATCACTTCTTAAAATTCCTCTTTCTTACACCTGAAAAAGCTTAGTATGACCAAACGAGAGTGGGCGTCATCGTTTTTAACTCGAGAATTGCGATAGCATGTTACGAGTTTCAGTGGGTAATCAAATTATTTGCTATTGAATTCTTTTAGTTCACATGTAGTAGAAATTCACGGAAAAAAAGGAACTGTATTTACGTTGAGTATGTATAGGTAATGAAATTTTCCTCACTTTTGTTTCTTGTCAATTTTAGATCAATGAGAAACTTGACATGTTGAACAGACACAAAGACGAGTTGTCGCTTGAGTGGGACAAGAGATGGGAACACCTGCAATTAGGTAAGAAAACGACGTCGCTTTTTCCACTCCCTTCCCTCCTGCCTCTTTCTTCCTCTGCCGCTTCCTTTTCCTTTGTCAGACTGTTCAAAAAATAGGGTTTAATCAGCGATGGAGACTAATGAACGTGTGCCTTTGATTGACAGTCCTCGAAGTCATGCAGTTTGCACGTGATGCTCACATGGCTGAAGGATGGATGATCGCACAGGAACCCTACCTGAAGAACGAGAACCNTGTATAATGGAACACTTTAGTCTCACTGACTTTGTTTTATATTAAAGTTTAATTATAGTGCGATAAATGCGATAAAGGTCACGCCCCAGAGGGTACTCGGGTATAGTAGCGAATAAAGGCAAATTGTCAATCCCCAAAAGGAGCTTCCTGGCCTTAATTCAGACCCTTAAAATGTCCAACAGACCAGAACATAAACGTAGTTGTAATTTTACCGAAATGCTTGATTTGTTTTGTTGTTGTTGTTGTTTTTGTGTGTGTGTGTGTGTGTTTTTTTTTTTTCGTGTGAATACTTCGTCTGTTGCCCTTTCATTGGTCAGCGAACAAGAAGCGACCAAGGTACTAACGAAGTGATTTTCTTTTTTCAAGCAGAAACGGACGAAAGCGTGACTGATGGCAAGATGGAAGGCTACCTGTATCGCAAACCGACCATGGACGCCCCCAACAGAAAAGCACCAATCAGGTAACGAAACCCGACGATGTATCGATTATTAGTATCACCCAACTAGTGGACTAATGCAAATCCTGCATTTTGATTGGCTACG